GTTTGGGGGCACCCTGTGGGTTTGGGGTGGTCCCATGGGTTTGGGGTGGCCCCGTGGGTTTGGGGGGACCCTGTGGGTTTGGGGTGGCCCCATGGGCTCAGGGGGTCCTGGCCATTGGGGGTCCCCATTTCGGGGGCCGGTGGGCGTGGCCTATAGAAAGGGGCGTGGTCTAAACAGATGGGCGTGTCTTACTACATTGGGGCGGGGCCGCCGGGCATGGGCGTGGCTTGTAGGGTGATGGGCGTGGTTTAGCTGGAATGGGCGTGCCTTAACCGCCGTTTGTGGGCGTGGCTCTCCGTGGGCGCGGCCGCGCGGGGCAGCTCCACCCCGAGGCGCGCGCGCGGAATTTGGGGGTGTCTGAGGGGGCCGGGGGGCTCTGGGGGGCCTGGGGATAGGAGGGCTGAGGGGGACAGGGGTGGTGAGGGGGCACTGGGGACCTGCGGGGACCCCTGAAGGGTTGGTGGGACAGGGGAGGACACAAGGTGGACGGGACCTGGCGGGGAGGGGACACGGGACACAGAGAAAGGGACTTGGGGAGGGACCCTGAGGGGATTTAGGGGTCTCCTAAGGGAATTGAGACAGTTGAGGGGATCTGAGGGGGGTCTCCTGAGGGGACCTGGGGGCCTGAGAGGGTCTGGGGACATCCTTTAGGGGATCTCTGAGGGGACTGGGGACCTGAGGGGACAGCAGAGATCACAGAGGGGTGTTGGGGACCCCCAGGAGGATTTGGGTGGCTTGGAGAGAGGGGGGACAGGGAGTGGCGGTCTTTAGGGGACCTGAGGTGACAGTGGGGACCTGAGGGGGTTTTGGGGTCACCAGGAGCCAGGACTGGATGAGGGTGGGGGGGCTGGGAGGTTGGGGGAACCCCAGGACAAGTTGAGGGGGGACAGTGACAATGGTGGGTGCCAGCTCTGGGGGGGTTGCAGAATTGGGGGTTCCTGCAGCACTGGGGGTGGTTCATTTTTGGGGGTGTCCTGGATTTGTGGGGGTGAAGGAGATGGAGCCAGGACTGGATGAGGGTGGGGGGGCTGGGAGGTTGGGGGAACCCCAGGACAAGTTGCGGGGGGACAGTGACAATGGTGGGTGCCAGCTCTGGGTGGGTTGCAGAATTGGGGGATCCTGCAGGACTGGGGGTGGTTCATTTTTGGGGGTGTCCTGGATTTGTGGGGGTGACTTTGAGGACTGAGAGTGTTCTGAAATTTTTGGGGGTGGTGTCACACTGTGTGGGGGGGTCAAGGAGCAGTTTGGAGCCCCTCTTGTGGTGGGGGCTGTCGGTTTTGGTGTCAGGGCTATGAATTTTTTGGGGCTGTAGATTGCTGGGGGGTCCCAGCTGCTGGGGTTCTCTGTGGGGTGGTGCTCACGCTGCACTTTGGGGGCCCCCCAGCCCCCCTGCAGCAGCAGCGAGGCCTCGGCGCGGGAGGAGGAAGAGGAGGAGGAAGATGAGGACGAGGAAGACGAGGACGGGACCGGCTCGGAGGCCTCGGAGGACGCGGGGCCCCCCCGGCAGCTGAACGGGGAGGGCCGGGGGGGGCCCCCCCTGCGCCCCCCGGGGCAGCCGCCCCCCGAGCGGCCCCCCCAGCCCAAGGCCTGCGCCCCGGGGGAGGGGGGCTGCCAGCACATGGCCCCCCTCAAAAAGGAGGGGGCCTTCGGGCAGCCCGACAGAGCAGGTACTGCGGGGGCAGGGGGCTTTGGGGGTGATGGGAGTAGGGGGTTTAAGTTTGGGGGTGCTGAGGGCAGTTTCGGGTTGATGGGGGCAGTTTGGGGTAGGGGTGTGTAAGTTTGGGGGTGCTGAGGGCAGTTCAGGGGTGGGCATCACTCTGGGCTGTGGGGTCAGTCGGTGCTGGGGTTACTTTTGGGGTCAGTCAGTGTTGGGGGCACTCTGGGGTCACTCTGGTCTGTGGGGTCAGTCGGTGCGGGGTCACTCTGGGGTCACTCTGGGCTGTGGGGTCAGTCGGTGCTCAGGGTCACTCTGCGGTCACTCTGGGGGTCAGTCGCTGCTCAGGGTCACTCTGCGGTCGCTCTGGGTGCGGTCACTCGGGGCTGTGGGGTCAGTCGGTGCTCAGGGTCACTCTGCGGTCACTCTGGGTGCGGTCACTCGGGCTGTCCCAGGGTGACCCGTCGGTGTCCCCGCAGTGTCCCCGGCGCTGGCGGGGGCCGAGCCCTCGGTGCCGCTGTCCCCGGGCAGGCCGGGCCCCCAGGCTGCCGAGGGGGCCCCGTTCAGCTGCACGTGAGTCAGGGGCCGGTGTCCCCTTGTGTCCCTGCGTGTCACCCGTGTCCCACCCAGTGTCCCCTTGTGTCCCCTTAGTTCAGCCATGTCCCACCCAGTGTCCCTTGTGTCCCTCAGTGTCACCCGTGTCCCGCCCAGTGTCCCCTTGTGGCCCTGCGTGTCACCCGTGTCCCACCCAGTGTCCCCTTGTGTCCCTGCGTGTCACCCGTGTCCCACCCAGTGTCCCCTTGTGTCCCCTTAGTTCAGCCATGTCCCACCCAGTGTCCCTTGTGTCCCTGCGTGTCACCCTTGTCCCATGGAGTGTTCCTCTGTGTCACCCATGTCCTACCCAGTGTCCCTCTGTGTCCCACTCAGTGTCCCACTGTCCCATCACTATTGTCTCCATGTCCCCCTGGATGTCCCTGTCACCATGTCCCCTATGTCACCCCTCTGTTGCTGTGACCCTGCCCTCCCAGTGCCCCAGTGATCATGTCTGTGTGTCCCCATGGTGACTGTGTCTGTGTGTCCCCACGGGTGTTCCTCTGTGTCACCCATGTCCTACCCAGTGTCCCTCTGTGTCCCACTCAGTGTCCCACTGTCCCATCACTATTGTCTCCATGTCCCCCTGGATGTCCCTGTCACCATGTCCCCTGTGTCACCCCTCTGTTGCTGTGACCCTGTCCCCACAGTGTCCCCTGTGCCAGTGACTGTGTTCTGTGTGACCCTGCCCTCCCAGTGCCCCAGTGACCGTGTCTGTGTGTCCCCACACTGTCCCATGTATGTGTGTCCCCATGATGTCCCATCATGGTGACCGTGTCTGTGTCCCCTGCTGTCCCCGTGACGCTGTCCCCTGTCCCAGTGACCGTGTCTGTGTGTCCCCACGGTGTCCCCATGACGCTGTGCTTGTGTCCCAGTGTCCACGTCCCCACAGTGGCCCTGTGACACTGTCCCCGTGACCATGTCTGTGTGTCCCCATGCTGTCCCCTGTCCCAGTGACCATGTCTGTGTGTCCCCCGCTGTCCCCGTGACGCTGTCCCCTGTCCCAGTGACCGTGTCTGTGTGTCCCATGTCTATGTGTCCCCTGCTGTCCCCGTGACGCTGTCCCCTGTCCCAGTGACCGTGTCTGTGTGTCCCCCGCTGTCCCATGTCTGTGTCCCCCGCTGTCCGTGACGCTGTCCCCTGTCCCCAGGCCCGGGCGCAAGGACAAGGCCGTGGACCCGGTGGAGTGGTCGGTGCGGGACGTGGTCGAGTACTTCACCGAGGCCGGCTTCCCCGAGCAGGCCGGGGCCTTCCAGGAGCAGGTGGGGCCACCCCTGTCCCCACCGTGTCCCCAGGCTGTCCCCAGGCTCCCTCTGTCACCGCGGCTGTCCCCAAGAACGGTCCCCTCCCTGCAGAGTTCCTCTGTGGCCACCCCTGTCCCCTCCTGCTGCCCTCCAGGTGTCCCCTCTGTCCCTGGGCCTGTCCCCAAGGTGTCCCCGCTGCCCCTGACAGTGTCCCCAAAGTGTCCCACCTATTTTCCCCATAGGTCCCCACCCCTCACCATTGCACCACCCCCCTCCCCCAGGGTCACCCTGGGTGTCCCCCCTGTCCCCGTGTCCCCCTTGTCCCTGGGGTGTCCCCACTGGTGTGTCCCCACTGTCCCCTTGTCCCTGGGTTTGTCCCCACTGGGGTGTCCCCCCTGTCCCCTTGTCCCTGGGTTTGTCCCCACTGGGGTGTCCCCCTTGTCCCTGGGGTGTCCCCCCCCTGGGGTGTCCCCCTGTCCCCGTGTCCCCCTGTCCCTGCGGTGTCCCCAGTGCCCCTGACCACACCTCCTCCCTCCACCCTCCCCGGGTCACCCCAGGGTCCATCCCCTGTCCCCCAGGTGTCCCCCTCGCCATGGCTGTCCCCCCAGTGTCCCTCCCAGGTGTGTCCCCATTGTCCCCGTGTCCCTCTGTCCCTGCAGGTGTCCCCAGATGCCATTTCCCCCACAGATAGCCCACCCCACCCTCCTCCATCGCCCGGGGCTGCTCCAGCTTCTGTCCCCTGGCTGTCCCTGTGGCTGTCCCCGTGTCCCTCACTGTCCCCAATGTCCCTCACTGTCCCCATGTCCCTCACTGTCCCCGTGTCCCCAATGTCCCCAGGAGATCGACGGCAAGTCGCTGCTGCTGATGCAGAGGGCTGATGTGCTCACGGGGCTCTGGCCCTGGCTGTCCCCTGTCCCCATGGCTGTCCCCGTGTCCCTCACTGTGCCCTGTCCCCATGGCTGTCCCCGTGACTGTCCCCAGTGTCCCTCACTGTGCCCTGTCCCCATGGCTGTCCCCAGTGTCCCTCACTGTCCCCTGTCCCCCTGGCTGTCCCTGTGGCTGTCCCTGTGTCCCTCACTGTCCCCTGTCCCCATGGCTGTCCCCATGGCTGTCCCTGTGTCCCTCACTGTCCCCTGTCCCCTGGCTGTCCCTGTGACTGTCCCCGTGTCCCTCACTGTCCCTCACTGTCCCCTGTCCCCAGGAGATCGACGGCAAGTCGCTGCTGCTGATGCAGAGGGCCGATGTGCTCACGGGGCTCTGTCCCTGGGTGTCCCCTGTCCCTGTGACTGTCCCTGTGGCTGTCCCCTGTCCCTGTGACTGTCCCCAATGTCCCTCACTGTCCCTCACTGTCCCCTGTCCCCAGGAGATCGACGGCAAGTCGCTGCTGCTGATGCAGAGGGCCGATGTGCTCACGGGGCTCTCCATCCGCCTGGGCCCCGCGCTCAAGATCTACGAGTACCACGTGAAGCTGCTGCAGCGCAGCCACTTCCAGGACGAGGAGCCCCCCCCGGAGCCCTTCCCGGCCTGAGAGACCCCCCCGGACCCGCGGGGGACCCCCAGACCCGCGGGGACACCCAGACCCGCGGGGACACCCCCAGACCCGCGGGGACACCCCGGGATGCGGGAGGGCTCCTCCCTCCCCCCGCTGCTGCACACAGAGACTTTGGGGGGTGGCTGTGGGGGTTCCACCCCTTTTTGGGGGGTCCCACCTCTCTTTGGGGGGTCCCACCTCTCTTTGGGGGGGTCCCACCTCTCTTTGAGGGGTCCCACCTCTCTTTGGGGGGGTCCCACCTCTCTTTGGGGGGGTCTCATCCCTATTCAGGGGGGTCTCGCCTCTCTTTAGGGTCCCACCTCTAATTTTGGGGGGGGTCCTGCTCTCATTTGAGGGGTCCCACCTCGCTTTGAGGGGGTCTCATCTCTGTTTTGGGGGGGTCCCGTCTTTCTTTGGGGGTCCCACCCCTATTTTGGGGCTCCCACCCCTCTTTAAGGGGTCTGTCTTTTGGGGGGGACACCCCTCTTTTGGGGGGGCTCACCCTTGATTTGGGGGGCGTCTCCTTGGGGACCCCTCTTTCAGGGGGGTCACTTCTCTTTGGAGGGGTCCTCCCCTCTCTTTTTGGGGGGGTCACCCCTCTTTTGGGGGGATCCCACACTCTGAGGGGGTCGCCCCTCTCTTTTGGGGGTCTCCTCTCTCTGGGGAGCCCTGGGAGTGGGGGCACCCCGCTCCTCGTGGGGTCACCCCAGTTTTGGGGGGCCCCCTGGGGGCGGGGTCACCCCTCCTTGAGGGAGCCCCCTTTTTAGGGGATCCCCCTTTTCTTGGGGGGGTTTTTACCGCGGGGGGAGGGGGTTGGGGGGCTCTGCCCGGAGATGTTTTAACCTTCCCCAGCCCGTGCCCCCCCCCAAATTGGGGTGCGGCCCCCCCACCCCTTGGCCACGAGGGGGGAGCCCCCGAACCCCCCGCAGTCTGTGCCCCCCCCTTCCCCGGGCCTGCCTCGTTTTGGGTTTTTTTAAATAAAAACGGAAAATGAAATAAAATCACCACAAGATCTCGGGGTTCGGGGCTTTTGGAGGGGTCCCCAGTCTCGGGGGGAGCTCCCGCCTTAGAGCCCCCCAAAAAGGGGTTGGGGGGGCCAAGGGGGGCATTTGGGGACCCCCCCAGGGAGGGGAGGGTGCTGCGCATGCGCTGACCCTCCCGTCCGGCAGGGGGCGCCAGGCACCGCAGGGAGCCGCTCCTTCCGCCGCGGTGCTTGGGGACCCCCCCGGGGGGGGAGGGTGCTGCGCATGCGCTGACCCTCCCGTCCGGCAGGGGGCGCCAGGCACCGCAGGGAGCCGCTCCTTCCGCCGCTGTGTATAGCGCCCTCCTCTGCGCATGCGCCATCCAGCAGCCGGACATGCCACGCCCCCTACGGCGGCCGGCAGGGCCCAAAAGCCGCGCTCCGTAAACAAGGCTCAAAAACGGCCTCAGCTCCCCCAAACAACCCCAAGAAACACCCCCCGAACGCAAACTGCTCCAGAACAGCCTCAGGACGCCCAAACTGCCCCAAACAGCCCCAGAACAGGCTCAGGCTTCGCCAAAGGAGCAGTAACTGCCCCAAACCAGCCCAAACTGCCCCAGGACAGCCTCAGACGCCGCTAAAGCCACAAATGCCCCAATGCTCCCAATGTGTTTCGAGCCGCTCTGACGCATCCTCGGCCCCCACCGGCCCTTCCGGCCCACAGGACCCCCAAACAGCTCCCAGCTGCCCCCACATGCTCGTAAGGGCCATAAACGTTTATGTAGGATCGCCCCACTCCGTGTCCCCCTACGGCGGCCGGACAGGCCCAAAGTCCCTCTGCTGCGCGCGTGCGCAATGGCCGTTCCCTGGCGAAGATGGCGGCGTCCGTGTTCCCTCTCTCCGTAAGCGGGCAGCGCGGCCTCAAAGCCGCCGGCGCTGTCCCCAGCCCCTCACCCGCGTTTCCACAGCGGCCAAAGGAACCCAAAGCCCTCCGTGTCCTCCCTTCGGCTCTGCCCCATCCACAGCAGGGCTGAGGCGCCCAAAGGCCTCCTGTCACCGCGCGCATGCGCAGTAACGGCTCTCGTGGCGAAGATGGCGGCGCCCATGGTTCGAATCCACGACACCGCGCTGTGCGCATGCGTATTACGCGTCCCGGGGAAAGATGGCGGCACCCACCGCTCCAGTCCACAACTCTTGCTTGGGCGCATGCGCATTACGATCTCCGGCGGGAAGATGGCGGCGCCCTCCGCTCCCTCCCTCCGTACGGCGGCCGGCGGGGGCTCCAAGCCCCGCCCCTCGCGGCCCCGCGCATGCGCGACGCGGGGGGGGAAGATGGCGGCGTCCTCGCTGGAGCAGAAGCTGTCGCGGCTGGAGGCGAAGCTGAAGCAGGAGAACCGCGAGGCGCGGCGGAGAATCGACCTCAACCTCGACATCGGCCCCGCCCGCGCCCGCCCCAGTGAGCGGGGGCAGTTTTGGGGTATTTGGGGCAGTTCAGGGACATTTTGGGGCAGTTTTGGGGTATTTGGGGCAGTTCAGGGACATTTTGGGGCAGTTTTGGGCCGTTTCAGGGCAGTCCTGGCCGGTTTCGGGGCTGGGGCAATTTGGGGGGTTGGGAGGGGATTTTGGGGTGTTTTTGGGGGATTTTGGGGTGGTTTTTTGGGGGATTTTGGGGTTTTTGGGGGGCTCTGAGGGGACTGGCAGTGGGATTTTTGGGGGTTTCCCCCCAGTTGCCACCTCGAGGATCCCCCTGCAGGTAGGACCCCCCGGGATCATTCCCAGCAATTTTGGGGATTTTTGGGGGATTTTCCAGCCTGGGGGGAGCAGCCCCCCCCCTATTCCCATTTTCCCCTCCCCCCTCTCAAATTTAAGCTCATTTTTGTCCCCCAGATTGAAATGAATCCCCCCAAATTTCGATTTCCCCCCCAAATTTCGATTTCCCCCCAAATTTCGATTCCCCCCAATTCATTCCTGTCCCCCCATTTCATGTGATTTCCCCAATTTAAATTCATTTCTTTGCCCCCAAATTGATTTTTCCCTCTGAGTTTCCCTCTCGTCCCTCCCAGTTTCATCTCTGTCCCTTCACCAATTTCATTTTTATTTAAATTTGATTGAAATTTCTGTTCCCCCCAATTTAAACTCATTTTTGTCCCCCCATTTCATTCCTGTCCCTCCAACTTCAGCTCGGTTTCATTTCCTCCCAATTTAAATTCATTTCTGCTCCCCTGATTAAAGCTCATCCCCCAATTAATTAATTCCCTAATTTAAATTTTGTTCCCTTCAATTTAAATTCTTTTTTTTCCAGTTGAAGAAAATTCACATTTCTGCCCCCAATTTGAATTAATTTCTGCCCCCTTTTAAATTAATCCCCCCCAAATTTCGATTCCCCCCAAATTTCATTCCCCCCCAGTTCATTCCTGTCCCCCCATTTCATGTGATTTCCCCAATTTAAATTCATTTCTTTGCCCCCAAATTGATTTTTCCCTCTGAGTTTCCCTCTCGTCCCTCCCAGTTTCATCTCTGTCCCTTCACCAATTTCATTTTTATTTAAATTTGATTGAAATTTCTGTTCCCCCCAATTTAAACTCATTTTTGTCCCCCCATTTCATTCCTGTCCCTCCAACTTCAGCTCGGTTTCATTTCCTCCCAATTTAAATTCATTTCTGCTCCCCTGATTAAAGCTCATCCCCCAATTAATTAATTCCCTAATTTAAATTTTGTTCCCTTCAATTTAAATTCTTTTTTTTCCAGTTGAAGAAAATTCACATTTCTGCCCCCAATTTGAATTAATTTCTGCCCCCTTTTAAATTAATTTCCTCACAATTTAAATTAATTCCTGTGTAAGTTTTAATTTAAATTAATTTTTCTCAATTTAAAATAATTTTTTTTCTTCAACTTAAATTAATTTCTGCTTCCAATTTTAATTTTATTTCCCCAAATTTAAATTCATTTTTTGCCCCAAATTTAAATTATTTTCCCCAATTTCAATTCATTTTTGCCCCAAATTTAAATTATTTTCCCCAATTTAAATTAATTTTTGGCCCAAATTTAAATTATTTCCTCCAATTTCAATCCATTTTTGCCACCCAAATTAAATTATTTCCCCCAATTTAAATTCATTTCTGCCCCCAATTTATTTCCCCCAATTTAAATTAATTTCTGACCCCCAATTTCAATTAATTCACGCGATTTAAATTTATTTTCACCCCCAATTTAAGTTCATTTTCCCCAATTTCAATTAATTTCTGCTTCCCAATTGAAATTAATTCCTGCAATTTAAATTAATTTTCCCTCCCAATTTAAATTTTTCCCCTAAATTTACATAATTCCTGCCCCCGTTTCCTTAACTCCCCCACCCCCAATCCTCCCCTTTTTAATTTTTCTCTTTTTCTTTCTGTTTTGTTCTTTTTTTTATTTTATTTTTTTGTTCTTTCCCCCCCATTTTTTATTTTCCCCCCGCCCCTCCCCCATCTCCAGTCATCGTCCTTCCAATTTTAACTTTATTTCCCCAAATTTAAATTCATTTTTTGCCCCAAATTTAAATTATTTCCCCAAATTTAAATTCATTTTTGCCCCAAATTTAAATTATTTTCCCCAATTTCAATCCATTTTTGCCACCCAAATTAAATTATTTCCCCCAATTTAAATTCATTTCTGCCCCCAATTTATTTCCCCCAATTTAAATTCATTTCTGACCCCCAATTTAAATTAATTCACCCGATTTCAATTGATTTCCACCCCAATTTAAGTTCATTTTCCCCAATTTCAATTAATTTCTGCTTCCCATTGAAATTAATTCCTGCAATTTAAATTAATTCACCCGATTTCAATTGATTTCCACCCCAATTTAAGTTCATTTTCCCCAATTTCAATTAATTTCTGCTTCCCAATTGAAATTAATTCCTGCAATTTAAATTAATTTTCCCTCCCAATTTAAGTTTTTTCCCCTAATTTACATAATTCCTGCCCCCGTTTCCTTAACTCCCCCACCCCCAATCCTCCCCTTTTTAATTTTTCTCTTTTTCTTTCTGTTTTGTTCTTTTTTTTATTTTATTTTTTTGTTCTTTCCCCCCCATTTTTTATTTTCCCCCCGCCCCTCCCCCATCTCCAGTCATCGTCATCACCCTTAGCCCCGCCCCCGCTCCGTCCCAGCGAGCAGGTACCTCCCCTCCCCCCCCCTGGGGACCCCTCCCCACTTAACCCCTCCCCC